AGGGGGGGAGAGAGAGAGAGAGGTAGGCTAGTTTAAGGTTAGGTCTTAGTTAGGGGGCGTGTGGCTTGTGTCTGAGGAGAGAGGCCAGCTTGTGTTCTCTCGTTCTCTCTTTCCCTGCTCTGTCCATGACGTAGAGTCATACCAAAGATTCTGTTTAACAAGATGGTTCATTCCTCTCTTTTAACCAATTTAAAAAAGTGTCCTCAAAATCCGGTGACGGAAAATCGCCCGTTTTGTGAACAGTTACGTCTAATCTTCGGCACGTTTATGACCTTATTGCGTTGCAAGTGCCGTAAAACTCTTACTGGAACTAAACTGCAATCCCTGTGGTGACAACCTTTAGCCCGTAGTGTACATCGATAATCCCAGTTGTCCCCCGCTCCTGACCCTGACTGACCGGCTTGTTTGTTTTTCTCCTGGCACCGGTCTCCTTGATATTCTTAATAATTTGTACACATTTACCCACCCCCTCCAACCACCGCCCCTCCCTCACCCTTAGCAAACACCAGTATAGCTTATTCTGCGAATGCAGGGGGTAGTACATTCTTACTGCATTCCCCCACGTCATTGCCCGCTCGGCCCTCGGGGATTTATATTTTCAGTTTTCAGATTTTATCCGTGTTTGTTTGTAGGTCTGAATTATGAATAACATATTGAGGACGGTTTATTTGGTGGTCAATAATAGTATTGTAACAGTAACATCAAAGTTCAAAGTAAAGTTTTTGTGTCCTGCTGATTTCTGTATAAAAAGTGTGTCCTTGCTCCCCCCCCCCAATCCCCCTTGGATTTGGTTGGACAAAAACATGATATTCTTGTGGGAGTCTCTTGTTGTTCTAAATGGACTAGGTACCACATTACATTAGAGCTGGTCTCCGCAAGTCTCCTGTTGTTGTTCTAAATGGAACGGGTACCGTATTACACTACAGCTGGCTGCTGGCATTGTTCAAAGTCCGCCTATGGCCATGCCTGAATGCGTGTCTAAGGATTGGCATTAATTATTTCAGTCTTGCGTGTCAAATGTGGTTTATTTTCCCCTTTTCTTGTTTTGTCTGGAAGAATTGCAAGCAACTTCCCGTGAGAGCAGACCGTCTGATTTATAATACCGACATGCTGAATGTAATTTGTTGGAGGTTTTGGTTCAAAATATGACAACCAAGGTGTTACAATGCGTCAGGTTTAAAGTGGTATTTTTAAAGGCTGAATGAGTTTTACCTGTTATATGTGCGATTTTGTATATTTTTGTTCTTTCCTGTAATAGTTTAATCCAGCCCTGTTAATTTTTTTCAGTAGCTTTTTCGAAAGCATTTGATAGACAAACAAGAAGACGGGTAGCGAGGTGTAGATATTATATTTCATTATAAATATATTTGAGAGAGAGAGAGAGAGAGTTGTTGTTATCGATCCAGTGAGTGAGAGAAGAGAGAGAGAGAGAGAGAGAGAGAGAGAGAGAGAGATTAACAGAATAAAAGACGGACAAAGAGATACCCACAAGCCAGAATATAAATCCATTAGGATCCGATATGATTTTTTCAACGCACGAATAGATCTCTGATTGGTTCTTTCGGGTGGGGAAAAAAGGGCAGTAATCTCGAGCTGATGCATTGACCAATGTGATTGTTTATGAGCTGTGAATGATAAATACACCTCGATCTCATTGTCTTCTCCCTGACATCAGATTTCTGAGTGACACATCGGAAAGCGATCTCGCTTGAGAATATTTTATTTTCTTCCCGCCAACGTTCGTGTTTGGATTTCTGAGTGATTTACTGGGTGATTTATTGAGTGATCTACGGTTTCTTCTGGTGCCGATTTATGGCGGATTTTTCAACGGTTGACACATCAAATAGAAGGAATAAGTGAATTCAGATCGCGAGATTGAACGAACGTTTTGAGGATGTATACTAAAGGAAGAGATGTTGGTGGAGGGGGAGGTCGGCCGAATGATGTGGAAAAACTCCATTTACACAGAGATGACTCGACAATGACACAGGTTTGTTGGGGTGTTGTTTATTTTTGTGCAGAGTGTTGTCGTCACATTCTGTTCAGTTCCCAGTTCTGTGTTTGTACTTCTCTATGTGTTGTCACATTCTATACAATTCCCAGTTCTGTGTTTGTAATTCTCTGTGTGTTGTCACATTCTGCACATTTCCTAGTTCTGTGTTTATACTTCTCTGTGTGTTGTTACATTCTGTATAATTTCCATGTGTGTGTGTGTGTGTGTGTGTGTGTGTGTGTGTGTGTGTGTGTGTGTGTATGTGTGTTGTTTTATTAGGTACAGTTCCAGTTCTGAGCTTAAACAACCGTATCTGTTGTTGCTTTCTGTACATTTTCCACTTCTTTGTTCGTACTGCTAGTAGTGCTAGCATGCTATGTGTGTATTCTGATGAGTCCGCGATGAAAGCGAGAAAGGCTGGGGTCAAGAGCGTGAAACGGACCCTACACATAATTTTATTTAGCTTTAGTAAGTGTTTTACGTCAGTTGCAGCACGATAAGGTCAAATGAGTGCCGAAGATTAGGGGTGTTACAAGAGAGTAACAAACATTAAAAAAGAAGGAGGGGAGATAAAGACGATAGATGTTTGATAGGAAAGAAGCAGCCAACCACACCAGAGCACCCGTCAACCACCCACCATAATTTTTATTTTTAAATGTGGATATTTTTACGCCCCACGTCGACACAATGTAATCATTAGGGCATGTCTCCTGACATGGTAATTAGTCCCTTTTCAAGACAAGCAGGCTAACCCAGATTTCGGGGGTTTCCAGAAATCTTGACCGACACCACAAGTGGGCATTGCCTCATCTATATGAGAAGTTTGGTTTCGTAGGTGTGTATATTTATTTCGTTAAAGAGAAAACTCTCCTTGTCTTTTATAGAAACAGAATAAGGGGTAAAAATTTTACCTTCGATTTTCTCAGAACAGCATTTTTCGGGATAGCCCCCTTGTGCTTAAAAGCGACCAATTTAACTCGGGTCTTTTGTGTGCAACGGTGAAACACCTAATTACCACACTAGGGACTCCGGTGGACTAGGGGAGAGGGCATGGAAGAGACCCTGGAGAATTACAGTGACCTCCCTTTCCCGACATGCCTCATGGTACCCGGCCATTGCATGACAATGTATATGTGAGGCATCGTGGTTAAATCAGGCCCTCGCCAAAATAATGAAATCAAAGAAACTGGCTTTTTTCTGGCTTTCGGGAGAATTTGTATAATTTTCTTCTTTTTTTCCCTCAACATCTTTTGTGTCCATTTAAAAACACATTTGAGTGTTCATTTTACTGAGGGGAAAAAACCGTTAATTAAAGGCACAAAAAACTGTAAATTTTCAGTTTCCAAGGACTCTCAGGCTATAAAAATTGCCAAACTTAGGCGGCCTCTGAAACTAAGGCGACCCTGACCTCCTTCAATCGCAAATATCGTGACCTCTATTAAAAGTAGACTGATATTTTTTTCACCCACAGCAAAGCAAATTAACTGGCTTTATTTAAGATGATACCAATAAACCCATATGCTCCAAATGTGACGAGCGCCTGATTCCAGAACGTCGAGACGTGTAACATGTGATCTGTTTTAGTGGACGAATCGATGGGTGATACCATCTATCGCCGGACACTGTCTTGTCCACAGAATTGAATATGTATCACCCATCGATTCCTACAGTGTCCGCGCCGAGGAACAGCGGGATATAAACACCTGAGGGGAAGGAATTTTCTTACATATTTCATTGTCCAGATACCATCTATCGCCGGACACTGTCTTGTCCACAGAATTGAATATGTATCTGGACAATGAAATATGTAAGAAAATTCCTTCCCCTCAGGTGTTTATATCCCGCTGTTCCTCGGCGCGGACACTGTAGGAATGTGGAGAGATAATATTTATTGTCTCCTATACAGAATCCAATATCGCCTCTGTCCGTTCATTTGGGCGTTAACTCACCCATCCTTCTTTCTATGTGTCGGTTTATCTGTTTTTCTTTATGTTTCTTCTTGTGTTTTGTGTGTCTAATCTCTCTATCTATCTATCTATCTATCTATCTATCTATCTATCTATCTATCTATCTATCTGTCTATCTAGCTATATGTCTGTCCATTTGCCTGCCGGCCTGTCTGCCCGTCCGTCCGTCCGTCCGTCTGTCTGTCTGTCTGTCTGTCTGTCTGTCTGTCTGTCTGTCTGTCTGTCTGTTTATCCCAATAACACACTCATTGACCAAAGTGGTGATGACAGTAGCTGATAATAGCACTGATCTCGCTCATCTCATACCAACCTCTTCCCCCTCCAGCGTTTCTGACCTCATGGTCTTATGGTAATTCAAAGCGGCGAAAAATGTCGGATACAACTTTGTAATTCTAAGATGGCGATGTCATTGTGGCAAACATTCTATTGTCCCTGAAATCCCCGCTAGTTCACCATGACGAGCTCTCCGAGTTGTATTTTCTGTCTCAAAGGACAGGTCGATCTGGCGTGCTCTGATCTCGGCTTGTAGTTTTTGTTTTTCAGCGGAACTCTTTATGGTAATTGCATCGCCATAGGCTATGTTATAGAGTGAATCAAAGAGCATCGCCTCGAGGAAGGCCATTCAGCACAGAGTAACAGAAAGAAAGACAGACAAAAGCAACAAAACAGAAGAAAAGAAGAAGGACAACCAGGTCTTTTGTTTTTATTATATAACCCTTTTATGATGAAGGTATTGCGTTGAATAATATATATATATATCTGTTATTTTCTATAAACTACACGTTTTTATGATAGTTATGTCGCTTTAGGCAACTGGATTATTTTCATCTCTTCGTGTCCCTCAAAAGTCCACCAACATAATGAACAATAGATGCATCCTCTGCGCCAGGTCATCTTACCCTCGGCGTTATTTGGCCTAGTATCTCCTGTTTGTTGCCGTCGAAACTTTTTACAATTCTGAACTGTCTCTACCCCCCGCTACATTTATATCCCTGGTGGCTTTGTTTTTGTTTGTTGGAGTAAAAAGAAGCACATCGACGCTGTTATGGCCATATAGTGCTGGGGAAAAGTCAGACAGACAGACAGAAACTACAGAGGGAGGAAAGAAGTAGTACCTACAGCAGCGCCCTCCAATCACCCACTCCCTGGCGGCGACACCCCCCCCC